TAGGGTACTACATTATGGATATAGCAAAGTATAAGGCATGGCCTCTGGCTGTTGGGCATTTGTAATCTACTTGCAGGATAGGCGATACACATAAAAAGAGAGTAACAATACAAGATAGTATTTGCAAAATGGGTGGTTCAAACTCTAAGCCCTATAGAGAAAGGAGAGATTGCTGTGGATGGAAATCTTACTAGAGGTGATTGAAATGACTGAAATGGGCTGTGGCGGAAGGGAACACACAGTTGATTGGTGGACATTCAAGACAAAGAAAGTAAGGGACAAAAAATGACGATGTAGGAGCCCCGGAGCCCTTGCAATAGTTTGTATACTGTGGTAGATTTGTGGCAGGTGTGGTCAGGGAGGCAGGTAGTGGTCATACCGTAGAGGGATTTGAATGCAGGGCTAGGATGTTAGGACTCTTATTGTATAGGCTCTGGGGAACCACTGAAAGTTTTCAGTTTGGATATGGCATATTGCAGGCAGCACACATATTTTCATGGTCAAGGGACTTGAAGATCAAAGTCTCCTTCATTCAGTCATTTAAGAGCTGAGCAGCCGTTGCCATGAGTAACATGCCTCAGAACATTAATTTTTTAGGGGGAAGGGGTGGTTTCAGAGACTGGAGGTAAGTGTGTGTGTTTGAAGTGGGGCCAGAAGGAGAATGGTGGCAATCTCCACTAGAGTTTCATAGACTCTTTGTGTATGTGAAGCTATGTATCATATGAAGAGGGGAAAAAAATCCATAGATGGGAGATAATAATGAAGCCTTAGTAAAATGCATTATAAGCCAGCAAAATGATTTTTTAAATATTGAGATTTAAGTGTTTAATGATCAGAGACTTAAGTTTGCCAGTAGTTTAACCAACACTATGATTTCATTTCGACATTGAGAGCACCCAGGAACGCCAACACTCGTCTGCTCTCAGGTCGGAGCTACTGCTGCCAAGCTCCTTCAGTTCTGTCAGGGGAGAAGAAGTGTGGCGTTCTGTGGAGCCACTTTTTACAATAACAGGGCTTGTGTAAAGATTCCCCATTTTCTAGATGCAGTGAACCTAATGAGAACTTGAAATTCATCCCACAACCCTGCCAGTCAGTATTTCAGCTGTAGTAAGTTAATTGGCAATAGTTTTGTCTTGTTTTCTTGTCTTTTTTTTTGTTGTTGTTCTTTTCTTGTCTTTGCTTTTCTGGACCTTACCTTTCCTTTTTTTTTTTTTAATTTCTTGAAAATGGTGAAAGACATATTGTTATGACAAAGAGACTGATGACAGTATTAAAAACTGAGAATTCTGGATGTGGAATCTCAAAAAAATACTCCCCAGTCAATATCAAATTCATACTCTTCTGCCTGGATTTGAAAGCTTGCAAATTGATTTAACATATCTGTATCTCTTTCTTCCTTCCCTTCCTTCCTTGCTGCTCATACTTACCATTCTCATTTCCTGCATCTTTTTCTCCCATGAACCCTCCTCCAGCCAGGCCACACAGGTGCTCATTACCTTTTGAAAATTTGCCGTTCTTTTCCAACTCTATTCAAGTTCTTCCTCACAGCTAAATTGAGTATGTGTAACGTAGTAAGCGTAGTATGAATTGATTTCTTTTCTTTAAAAATGAGATGCAAAACTTGAAAGTGAAAACTTTGTCACCCTTAAAAATATGTCAGGTTATAAATAATATAGACATTTTAGAAATCCCATATTTGACTTCTTGTAGGTGCAATTCAGATCCCTTCTCTTGTATATAGTACAGCTCTGCTTGTTTAGAGACACAGAATCATTGTTCAAGGCCTCCAGTGTCAGAGCAGAAATAAAGTAGCCAGCACCGAGACCAAATGGAATGAGAGGACCAAATATCAATACAAGTTCAGGATAGATGTGGGATGGACTGAAATTTGAGGAATGCTTGAGATGAGCAATTTAATATGTAGGTACCAGATGTTGGAGTAGTGCCTCATTCTCCTGGTTTCTGGCCTTGCAGGGTGAAGAGGATAGGATAGGATAGAATGTTTTCCCTTTTAAAAGCCTATATGCTTTTTATCAAAACTTCATGCTAAAGGAATATATGAATTAATCCAGTCTATTACAGTCCAATATGCTATTGCATATATGTAATAAACTGAAGGGGAAACTGTTTCTCCTGTTGCAAACACAAACCAAAAAAGATACATTCTGTTTAACCAGTAATTAAGCTTTGTGGTAACCCCTCTTTCTTATGGCAGTGTTGCAGACAGCTTTACCTTAATTGTTAAGAGAAAGGAATAAAAACGGTGCAGTGAACGATTTCACTGACCTGAAACACTTGGTTATACAAAACTTAAGTTATTTGTGGTATATATATAATAGTAGCCACCAAGAAGTTTAAAGTGTAGGAATAATCTTAATGAAATATCAGATTAAGTTTGCCCACATATACAGATAATTATCAAGTAAATATTTGCCAGCAAGTAAGTACAAATAATTCATGAACCTGTTCTATAAGCTTGAAGAAATTCTAGATGTGTGTCCTTTTAGGTATCCCAGTCACCCTTTCATAGAAAATGTTCACTTTTGGCAAATAGAAACATTCCTGCGGCAAGACTAGCAATTCTTCCTGGCATCAGGCAATCACAATCATCCAGAGTTCACAACTAGACACAGAACTACTTGAAGATTTAGCACAGGGCACCATCTTTAAGAGTAGACAGAACTCATTGGATTCATATAGCCTCTTCATAAAATGGTGGGGGCTATCTCTAAACTATTTTAGCTAATTTGTGTATCTTAAATGTCTTTAATTTCACTCATGAGGGCTTATATGCTGTGTTCATCATGCTTGTTTTCATGCCTTGTTTTCACCAGTAGATACACATTTTGTCATTCAGTATACTGATTAGTAAATCATCAGGTATTGATTGAGATGCAAATAACGAAAGTACGTCTGGTAGCCCCCTGAAGAATATAGACTTTATTTTTAGAATCCCAACAAATGACTCCTGGTCTGTGATTCTTGAGTAGGTGTGACACACGGGTTAGAGCTCACTCTTACTAGCACACACATTTAATCACATTGCATTTTAAAGTAAATTCTAGACGTTGCAACAAATAGTTTAAAAATCCTATTAGGTGCCAATGTGTAAGTCATTATTTGAAGTTTTGAAATGAATGGCAGAACTTTAACTTTCTGTTTTGAAAGTTCACCTTATATTTTAATGTAAACTTCACATTCTTCCTTCATAGATATTGGACATGTCATTAGGTGCAAGCTGTCTCCATTTTACAAGTCTATCTGCAGGTGAAACATCCTCTAACTCTGACATTTTTGCTAGTTTTGTTCATAGACAAGACTGTACTTTGTTGATTGCTTAAATGATTCAGTAAACCCTAGGTGAAAGCTGACTGGGTAAGAAATCAGGAAACCAGAACTTTTAGTCACCTTATAGCTTAATAAAAATAGGGAAATCATTCAGCTGGGATATATTCAGAGAACCACCATTTTTAATTTACCTTTCTGTACTCCTAATACATTTTTAGGGTTAACAAAATATTGTACAAGAAATCTAGTGGAACATAAGTGTCTTAATAACTTAATCAGCTTTGGAAAGTAAAATATGCTCTGATGGACATTCAGTTAATGTTTTATCAAGAAATAATTTACCCACCAGGCAGAAATATTTTTAATTGTCATAATGATAAAATATAACAGCAAAAGCTGTGTGATTTGGGTAAGTTACTTAACCTCTCTAAAGCCCGAGTCTTCTCGTAAACAAAATGAAGTTATTAATAGTAAGTACTACACAAAGTTAAAGGTTAATAAGATAATATTTATAAACCCATAGCAAAGGGTCCAGTGTATGCTTTCTCAAAAATAATAGTTATTTTAAGGGAGAACAAATCAAAAGAAGCATTTCAAGAGAGTGGTCAATAGTGCCTTAATGATGCTAGGTCACTCAGAGAAGCCTGGACTACACAGAATGAGAACTCAAAATATAGACTTTTCTTCTAGAATGCGGCATGTGTGTGCCTGAAAAACCACTCATTCTGCAAAATAGCACACTCAGATTAATAGAGCTTATGGGAAAAGAGTTGAGGTTTGGGCAGACCACTTAAAATCTCTGTAGCTTTACATTGTTATTGTTAGTTCTCTAGTTACAGTCCTAGAAAAAAAAATGTTAACTCCGTTAAATCTCTAACAACATACGCACCACGCATCACAGACAGCTAACCCTTTGCATCATCACAGTTCCTCTCAGATGGAGATGGGAGTTATTAAACACATTTGATTCCAGAATTTTCATCAGAATTAAACATCTGGTTCAAGATACAGGGAGAAAT